AGGCAGCAAGATGGTGCTGAACTGTGCCAACGGTTGGGCGAAGGGCATGGTCAGTGATCCTCCAGCACTGTTCCTGTCTACTCCATGAAAGCCAGCTGCTGTGACAGGGTCCAACAGTTAGAGACAAATTCTACTTTATAAAGGAATCAACTCACAACCTTACATGCTGTTGTTGTTTGACAGCTCAGACGAGTCCGACTCTTTGTGACCCCATGGGCTGTAGCCCGCCATGCTCCTCCGTCCATGGGAATCTCCAGGCAAGAACACTGGAGTGGGTTGCATGCCCTCCTCCAGGGGAATCTTCCCGTCCCAGGGATCGAACCCACATGTCCTGCATCGGCAGGTGAATTCTTTACTAGTGAGCCACCAGGGAGGCCCTCACAACTTTATATAGAAAGTGACTAAAAGAGGTCCCCACCTTTCCCAAATGTGTAAACAATTTAATGCCTTTAAAAGCTGAAGGGCATAGAGCTCCATTTTGGATGCATCACAGAATTCTTCCCTTTACAGTCAACTGTGATTGCTTCTATAAATCTGCATTGTCTGCCTATCATGAGCCACTCACTGAGGCCCTGGGTATATAGTGGTTTAAAAACACAAAACTGAAGAAAAGCCAGCCGTGGACCCTGAATTGGCTGCACTTTCTGTCCAGTGCAATCCGTGTGCAAATAAACATTTACCTGCGGCCCCAGGTGCAATGACAGGAAAGACCAGGTACTGGGCAGAGACTGTATGAGGCAGATGCAGTGGTCTCTGAGGAGGCAGTGTGCTCCCTGGACCAAAAGGCTGAGGATGAGCTGGCCAAGCAGAGAATCAGGAGGAAGACTATTCCAGGCGAAGAGAACTGCATGTGTGAAGTGGAGAGCTTGGCAGGCTCGGGGCGCTCAGGACAGGCCAGCAAGGACTGGGCAAGCGAGAGGGGAGGTGTTAAAGAGCAGGCAGGAACCAGGTCACTCAGGCCTCACAGTCAAGCTAAGGAACTTGGATTTTCTCCAGAGTGCATGTGGAAGCTACACAAGTTTTATTATTAGAGATGACATAATCCACTTAGTTTTCTTTTTAAAGGTGGCGCTGGCCCCTGGGTTGGAGTGAGACTTTAGTGGAGGTGGCTGGCGAGTAAGCTTCCCCAGGCAAAACATTAGCAAGAGAACAAAACTGCTGATTGTCAGAACTGAGCTCTTCCTAAGGCTGTAACAGCCCACACGGAGGAGATTGGAGCCCCCTCTGCCCATCCTCATGGAAATGGAGTAGAAATCAGGAGCTAAAGGGATCTGGAGAGACCCTCCCCAGACACCTCCCCTTGGTGTTCAAGAGAGCTACAGGAACAGGGCGATCTGGAACTGCTTCTTCAGTATTGGCTGAAGCTCAGTTCAGAAAGCGGTTAAGGACTCTATTAAAATACCAAATAGTAGAGCAGTTAGTACATATTCATACATTTTGAATTGTGCTGTTTTTCAGTAGCTAAGTCGTGTTTGACTCTTTGCGACCCCATGGACTGCATCACAGCAGGCTTCCTTGTCCTTCATCATCTCCCAGAGTTCACTCAAACTCTTTTGAGTCCACTGAGTCAGTGATGCCATCCAACCATCTCATCCTCTGTCGTCCCCTTCTCCTCCTGCCCTCAGTCTTTCCCAGCATCAGGGTCTTGTCTCATGAATAGGCTTTTCTCATCAGGTGGCAAAGTATTGGAGCTTCAGCTTCAGTCCTTCTTCAGGGTTGATTTCCTTTAGGACTGACTAGTTTGATCTCCTTGCTGTCCAGGGAACTCTCAAGAGTCTCCTCCAGCACCGCAGTTTGGAAGCATCAATTCTTTGGCACTCAGCCTTCTTTATGGTCCAAGTCTCACATTCATGTATGAACAGTGGGGGCTGGGAATATGAATGTACTTATCATAGAAAGTAGAAATACGTAGGTGGTTGGCCTGGATTTCTTGCTTCTTATCTGGCAGAGAAAGATGACACTGGACTAGTGCATCACAATCATTTTGTTTTAGCCCCTTGGTAAATCTTTCAGGTCAGCTCTGATTTCCGTTTCCTCGTTCATAGTTTGTGGTACTCAGACCGGACAGTAGTAAGAAACAATATTAAAAACAACCCTCAAAAACATCTCACCAGTTTGGCCAGCAAGATTCACTATGGAATTTCTTTTCACTAGAGCTTGTGAGTTTAAAAGTTGTTTATTTGTTGCCCCGATTATTCCAGAAAGAGTTTAAGGCAGAGAAGGTGTGTTCTGGGTGCCGGTCATCCTTCCTGCCTTCCTTTCAGCCTTGCTTCCTCCTTGGTGTCGAGCATCTAGGCGGCCCACACGGGAGCCTCGTAGCCAGCCCAACCCAGGGTGGAGGGAGGTGAAGATTGGCAGGGAGGCTGTGCTGTGACTTAGCCTGGGTGCCACCGTCAGCAACACGCAACCCAGGTTTTCTGAGCCCTCACTCCTGGTTGTTAACCTCAGCCTGGTCCCCCAGAGGTCATTGCTGGGGTGCTGATCTCTGCTAGGGGTGAAAAGAATCCTGCGTGAAAAACCCTTAAAAGAATGAAACAGCCTCCTGTTCTTCTTGCTTCCATCTGTTTCCTATTTGCCTCCTCTTCCTTCCAGCCCTTCACTCCAGACAGCCTGCACCTTGGACCTTCCATCCCTTGGTGCTTCCCAGGGAGGGGTAGGGGCTAAGGAGAGAAAAAAGGGCTCAGCCATTGTGCAGAGAGGGCAGAGCCAGCAACTGTGGTTTCGGCCCAGAAATGAGGAAGTTATTCAATGCCACAAAGGTTTTGTGAAAGCTTAGGCCTGGTCTTTCTTGTTTTCTCCCACGGACAGCAGCAGGGTCTAGAGGAGAGCCGGAAAGGCAAGCTTGCTGTCCAAATGGATTCTACCAATGGCTGGCTATGGATGTGCTGTGTCATCTTTACGTTCATGGATTTGATAAGATGCCTTTGAGTCTACTTTCCACCTCAGCTTAAACCAGATGGCCACTGGGGCAAAAGGAACCTTGTCTGGAGTTAGCACGTCACAGCTTTTTCTTGTGGCTTAGGGCTGTAGGAGAAATCCTAATTAGAGACCACATGATGAATTCTGCAAAAGGCTCTGACGTGCTAACTCCGGACAAGGCTCTTTTTGCTGTTACTTCCAGCATAAATTAGGTCTTTTAGTTGTGTCTATTTTACATAAAGATCTTGGCTGAAAGGAGCTCTAAAATGAAGGTTGAAGACAATAATGAAAATGATTCATTAATTAAGCAGATACCCCATGTGTAGGCAGTATGCTGGACAGTTAACAGACATTATCTAGAAGCTTGATAGCAACTCCGCAGGATACATATAATTATAGGAGCTGATTTGCTGAGTGCTGAATAAGTGAAAGTGAAGTTGCTCAGTTGTGTCCGACTCTTCGCAACCCCATGGGCTGTAGCTTACCATGCTCCTCCGTCCGTGGGATTTTCCAGTGCTGAATAGGTACAGACATTATTCTATGTGCTTTACCTGAATTGGGCCTCTCTGGTGGCTCAGAGGATAAAGCATCAGCCTGCAATGTGGGAGACCCAGGTTTGATCCTGGGTTGGGAAGATTCCCTGGAGAAGGGCATGGCAACCCACTCCAGGATTCTTGTCGGGAGAATTCCATGGATGGAGGCTGCAGCCCATGGGGTTGCAAAGAGTCCGACATGACTGAGCAACTAACAGCACTTCTCAACGACGCTATGAAAGCTGTTGTTCCTTTGCACCTGTTTCAGAGATGCAAGAACAGAGGCAAGAGAGGACACGGTCACAGAGTTTGCTCAGTGGCTGGGGCCAGGACTTGACTCAGACTCCAGGGCCAGGCTCCTCCTGCACTGTGCGTTCTGCCATATTCTCAGGTCCCCCATGAGGAGCCCGAGGCTCACCATTTACTTGCCTGATGTCATTCGGCTCACAAGTGACAGAACCTCAACCAGGCTTCAGACTTCCAAGACTTGAATATATTCCAAGTCAGGCATCCTCAAATCATTGAGAAAAAGTAAGGTAATAAAGGAGGCGATTACACTTAGATAAAACTAAAGACCAAAGCTTAGAAGTGGAAACTCCCTGCTGACTGCCTGATCATCTCCCTCCCTGCCCTGAAATACAAAGAAATCAATACCATGCCTGATCCCACCACTTCTCACCCAAGGCCTGTGTAGAAGAGAAACCGCAGGCATTTGCACCTTCTTCAGATTTCTGCTTATAGGAAGTGGTGTGGGGGCTCTCAAAGAGACATGAAAGCATATCACTGGTACCCAGCATGGCAGACCTGCCTCAGAGCCTGATGCAGGGAACAGACAGACTCTGATCAAGAGGAGACCTTGAAGGTGCAGTCAGGGTGTTTGGAAATTGAAAAGCCAAGACTCTCCACAGGAGAGGAAGTGCATCTGTTCCCATGGGGAACTGCACTGGCCACTTGGGGCTTAACATTTTTCTCTGGCTCCCTGGGTGTATGGAGGAAAAGCGTTAGGGAGATGGTGTTAGGGACTGGGGGCGGGAGGGTGGATTTAAATGGACACACAAAAGGCTTGCCTCCAGCGCAGTGGAATTTAAACCATCTGAAATAGCTCGGGCTCCAGCGTTGGCTGGTGCTCTGGGAGCTGCTCTCCTTCCAGCTACCCTGGGTCGGGAGGCAGCAGAAACTTGTCTCAGGAAACCACCTCCTTTAGTGAGTTCAAGTTTTTCACTTATTCACCCACAGATCCTAAGTTATAGGCGGGTTCTTCTTCATAATGGTCAATGCTCTTTCTCCCCGCTTGGTTGGAAAAATCTAGAATTCTGAGATTGGCAAGTACACCTTATTGCTTATTGTAGAAACACAGATAGGAGAAGGTGACAACCCCCACCAGTACAGAGCGCCTGGGTGGGTGCAGGCTTAGACCTCTGCGCTCAGCTGCACTGCTCTAAGCCAGCTCCACGGTGAATTCTCATACCTTATCCATGTTGGATTCGTTCATCCACCCTGCCTGTGAACACCACCACACTCAACTTCTTGTTTTCCTCTTTTCGCCAGAGATGCATGTGCAGACCCAGGCCCTGCAGACACTGGCACCTCTGACTCCTTCGGCCCAGAGCACCTCACCTCTGACCCCCAGCACAGGAAAGTGGCATGGTCAGGAGGGGTTAAACCTCGGCTGAAGCACAGGTAAGAGGCATGGAGGACCTCGTTGAGTGGTCTGCAAGAGGGACTTGGCTGCGGGAAGAGGGGATGAGAGCCGAGGCTGGTCACGAATACAGACGAGTGAGAGAGGTGAGGAGGTCAGGCGGAAGCTCGGAATTCAGAAGGATAGCCATCCTGATGACAGTTTCCAAACTAGGTTCTGAAGAAGCGTCGGCTTCCTGGCAGGTAATCTGAGGGGTCCCTCAAATCATTTGATGCAAATATCTCTTTAAAAAAATACATTTAAAAAATGTATTAAAAAAATACATTAAAAAAAAATACATTCACAGCCATTTTTAAAACTGTAATTAAAAACACTCAAAGAGATGTACCAATGTCCTACACTTTGGAAATGACTCGTGTGTTACACTGTACAACAAGGTGGATTCATCTTTGAGCTGATACTCATTGAAAATTTCTCATCTCTAATTGAGAAATGTCCTGAGATTACAAAGTTGGCCTAATGAAAGCTTGCAACTACTTATCTGAGCCTCCTGTGTGCTAGGGCTTTGCATACCTCATTAGATTCTCACCCCAGTGCTGTGAGGTTTGCACTAGTGTAAAGGCATCTAGTTAGGAGGTGGTGGGTTCAAATTCAGACAGTCAGCAATCAGCATAACAGCCTACTTCATAGGACAGTTGTGGGGATTCAATGAGATGAGGTATTCAAAGCACTTAGCACAGAGCCTGCTCATGGGGAATGAGATATAAATGTTAGGAAGTAAATATTAGGTGCTGGTATATTGATGATGTGGTTCTCATTAGTATCATCCTTTTCATCACTGTCATGTAAGTCTGTGTGCCAGCAAGAAAGGCAGTATAATATAGTAAGATGGGGTCCATAGAATCAGTCTACCTAGAATTCACATCTTAATTCTGCCATTTAATATATAATGCAGGGGCAAGAAGGATGGGGTGGGATGGATTGGGAGATTGAGCTTCCCAGGTGTGGTGCCTAGAGGTAAAGAACCTGCCTGTCAATGAAGGAGACATAAGAGACGTGGGTTCAGTACCTGGGTCAGGAAGATCCGCTGGAGGAGGGCATGGCAACCCACTCCAGTATTCTTTTTTTTTTTTTCCCATTTATTTTTATTAGTTGGAGGCTAATTACTTTACATCATTACAGTAGTTTTTGTTATACATTGAAATGAATTAGCCATGGATTTACATGTATTCCCCATCCCGGTCCCCCCTCCCACCTCCCTCTCCACCCGATCCCTCTGGGTCTTCCCAGTGCACCAGGCCCGAGCACTTGTCTCATGCACCCAACCTGGGCTGGTGATCTGTTTCACCCTAGATAATATACATGTTTCAATGCTGTTCTCTTGAAACATCCCACCCTCGCCTTCTCCCAGAGTCCACAAGTCTGTTCTATACATCTGAGTCTCTTTTTCTGTTTTGCATATAGGGTTATCGTTACCATCTTTCTAAATTCCATATATATGTGTTAGTATACTGTAATGGTCTTTATCTTTCTGGCTTACTTCGCTCTGTATAATGGGCTCCAGTTTCATCCATCTCATTAGAACTGATTCAAATGAATTCTTTTTAATGGCTGAGTAATATTCCATGGTGTATATGTACCACAGCTTCCTCATCCATTCGTCTGCTGATGGGCATCTAGGTTGCTTCCATGTCCTGGCTATTATAAACAGTGCTGCGATGAACATTGGGGTGCACGTGTCTCTTTCAGATCTGGTTTCCTTGGTGTGTATGCCCAGAAGTGGGATTGCTGGGTCATATGGCAGTTCTATTTCCAGCTTTTTAAGAAATCTCCACACTGTTTTCCATAGTGGCTGTACTAATTTGCATTCCCACCAACAGTGTAAGAGGGTTCCCTTTTCTCCACACCCTCTCCAGCATTTATTGCTTGTAGACTTTTGGATAGCAGCCATCCTGACTGGCGTATAATGGTACCTCATTGTGGTTTTGATTTGCATTTCTCTGATAATGAGTGATGTTGAGCATCTTTTCATGTGTTTGTTAGCCATCTGTATGTCTTCCTTGGAGAAATGTCTGTTGAGTTCTTTGGCCCATTTTTTGATTGGGTCATTTATTTTTCTGGAAACTCCAGTATTCTTGCCTGGAGAACCCCCATTGACAGAGGAGCCTGGTAGGCTACAGTCCATAGGGTCACAAAGAATCAGACACAACTAAAGTGAGTTTGCACACACGCACACATGTATAAAATAGATAACTATTGAGAACCTACATGAGGAACTATAGTCAGTGCTCTCTGGTAACCTAAATGGGAAGGAAATCCGAAAAAGATGGGATATACATATGTGTCTAGCTGACAGACGATGAGATGGCTGGATGGCATCACCGACTCGATGGACATGGGTTTGGGTAGACTCCGGGAGTTGGTGATGGACAGGGGGGCCTGGCGTGCTGCGATTCATGGGGTTGCAAGGAGTCAGACACGACTGAGTGACTGAACTGAACTGAACTAAACTGATGGCTGATTCACTTTGCTGCACAACAGAAACTAACACATTGTAAAGCAACCATAAGCAATAAAAAAATACATCTATATATAATATAACTGCAGGCAAGTTCTTTAAGCTCTGTTTCCAACATGTAAAGTGTGTTTAATAACTAATCTTCGCCATTCAGTTGCTGAGGGGATTGAAAGTGCTGATGCACATAGAACATTTAGAGTGGTACCCAGCCCATCATAAGCACTCAGTATGTCAGTTATCATTGTTGTCAGTTATCCTGATTTCAGTTTGGGGGCGGTCCTTTCATGTAGACATGTGAGCTTGATTATAAGTAAACATAAATTTAGATTTATTCAGTGACCCATTTTATGAATATGCAACTATACATAAAATACATTTTATGTAATCAAACAACATTTGTATCTGATGTCTATATTAGGATTCTTTGTAAGGTTTCATTTGAAAGAAAGATTCAAAAGCAGTTTGAACATACCAGATGAGGACAGGCTGAGATGTGCAGAGGCCTCCATCTGTGAGAGAAGCTGCTGGTATAAGGTTACCCCAGGGACAGCCCAAAGAAACAGAAGCCCCTAGGTTATCTCTCTTCCCTTCAGCCTCCTAGGATCTTCAGAATGTAGAGGATCAGAGCCTTTTATTTCACGAGACTTCACGAGCTGTGTAGGTTAATGTAGCATCAGTGCCAAAGGACTTCAGGCCAGAAAGTCGTAGTTAGGAAGTTAGTGTAGTGGCCTGAGCAGACAATGATCAAGACTTGAACTTAGCAAGAGGTGATGGGACAAGAGATGAGACAGATTTGAGATGAATTTAGGAGACATATCAAGAACAGGTGAGGGCGGGAGAAGATATTAGAGTGTGACTCCTAAGTTTCTGCCACAAGGCACTTGCTGGTAATTGTGGGGCCCATTCACCAGGTAGATGAAGGCAGGTAGAACTGAGATTAACTGGGGGCTGAGAAGGTGAACAGTGGACTCACACAGACCTGGGTTTGAGTTTGAAACAATTGAAATGTTTCATAAAACAATGAAAAATTTTATGAAAAAGTTTTTCATAAAAAAATCCCCTTAACAGCTGGATAAAACAGACAAACCTAAATGTATATCTAGGTGGTATCCTAACCATGCAGAGATTGTGCTTATAACCATGAAGGGATAGCTTTGAAATAAGCTGAGGTTGCCTTCATCATGTTCATGGTTAAAACTGGCTCATGATGCTGGGTTTCTATGAAGGGAGACTGTAAGGGAGCAGCTAGACTTTTTCCTTTTGAAAAAGTCCTACCTGCTTATATCCTATTGGCCGGAATTTTTACTGTACTATCCTCTAAGGATTTTACATGTGTATCTTATCTCCACAGGTATATCATAAGCCCCTACAATAGTCCACCCATAATTCTTTCCTATGTTCTTAGATCTCTGCAACCCAGGTTTTACTGATGTAGGACTGAACTTGGAAATTGGTCTGGTTCTCATCCAGTTTATTCAGATCTCAAATCCTGCCTGTTTTGCTTCTTACTTTTCATTTTGAAATAATTTTAGACTCACAGGAAAGCTGTGAAAATAGTACAGAGGTTTTCTATCCACCCATTACCCATCTTTCTGTAATGTTAATATCTTTTAAAACCACAGTGTAAATATCAACACTAAGGACTTAGTATTGGTGTAGTACTTCTAACTACAGACTATAACCCTTGATAGACTTTAGTCAGATACCACCCCCCCCACCCATCCCCCCAGTATCCTTTTTCCATTCCAGGACCTGCACTGTGTTTAATTGGCATGCTCCCTTAGTCTTCTCTAGTCCATCATACTTCCTCAGTCTTTCCCCATCTTTTATGACCTTGACACTTATTGAAGGGTATGGACCAGTTATTTTGTCCAGTATTTCGGTTTGTCTGGTATCATTTCATGGTTGGATAGAGGTTAAGCCTCTTCGGCAAGAATACCACAGACACGATGTGTCCTTTTTAGTGGGTCATTTCCAGTGTTACATGGTGTCAATATGTGTTATTACTGGTGATGTTAATCTTGATTACCTGGTTAAAGGTGAGGTCTCCAGGTTTCCTCACTGTAAAGTTATTGTCAGTCTCCTTGCAATTGACACATATCTTGGGTAGGGGGGAGGTAGTTTTGAGGCTCTGCAAAACATCATTTCTCCTCAGACTATCGCCCACTGATTTTTAGCATCTGTCGATGGATGTTGCATGTGACAATTATTACTATAATGTTCTAAAGATGAGTCTGTTTCCCTCATTTCTTCTGCATTTACTAGTTAGATGTCTTCTGTAAGGAAGAGCTCTCTCTTTCCTCTGTTTATTTATTCAGCTATCTGTATAAGTAAGAACTCCTTCATATTACTTTATTCTGTGGGTTATTTATTTTATTGGTCAAATTGTTCCAGCTTTGGCCATTAAGAGTTCTTTCAAGTTGGCTGTGGTCTGTTGTTCAGTCACTCCGCTGTGTCCGACTCTTTGTGACCCCAGGGACTGCAGCACGCCGGGCTTCCCTGTCCTTCACTATCTCCCAGAGT